AAGGGACATACCGTGTTCCCACACTGGCTGACAAAACCCATATCCATCACAGTGTGGGGCGACAGGGGGGAGCTGCTGCCACAGGAGGATACAAGATCAGCAAGTACAGGGACATTAGCCAACAGTATCAATTTGTCCCAGTGGGATCAGAGACCTTGGGATCATGGGGAAAAAAATGCCACACGTTTCCTTAAAGAATTGGGTTCCAGACTCATCGACACCACCCGGGACCCAAGGGCAGCCACTTTCATGTTTTCCCGCGCCTCAGCGTCGCCATCCAGAGGGGAAATGCTTGCGCATACTTGGCTCACGTCCAGCCTCGGAGGAGCTGGGGGAAAAATTTATCATCTTTGATACATTGTGCCATTGTATTCATGTTCATGTTTTTTTCTGTAAATGTAAATTTTTTTTATAAAAAAATGTTCACATAGAATATAAATATAGGGGGGGTAGGGGAAGAAAATATTCAAACAGCTCCGGGAGAACCTTGAGTTTTCCCTGAGGTATGTTTATTGTCTTCTCTAGGATGAGGGTCCCCATTCCCCGCTATAGAGGTGGGGACTTTCCCTATATTTTTATAATTTATATATATATATATATATATATATATATATAATATATATATATATATATCAGGTAAAACTGGTCAGTTAGCAAGAACTGATTTAAAATTAAATCCCATCTAGTATCTTAAGTCCCATTTAGTATCTTAAGTCCCATCTAGTATCTTAAGTCCCATCTAGTATCTTAAGTCCCATCTAGTATCTTAAGTCCCATCTAGTATCTTAAGTCCCATTTTGTATCTTAAGTCCCATCTAGTATCTTAAGTCCCATCTAGTATCTTAAGTCCCATCTTGTAATCTTAAGTCCCATCTAGTATCTTAAGTCCCATCTAGTATCTTAAGTCCCACTAGTATCTTAATCCCATCTTGTATCTTAAGTCCCATCTAGTATCTTAAGTCCCATCTAGTATCTTAAGTCCCATCTTGTATCTTAAGTCCCATCTAGTACCCTTAAGTCCCATCTAGTATCTTAAGTCCCATCTAGTATCTTAAGTCCCATCTTGTATCTTAAGTCCCATCTAGTATCTTAAGTCCCTCTAGTATCTTAAGTCCCATCTAGTATCTTAAGTCCCATCTAGTATCTTAAGTCCCATCTAGTATCTTAAGTCCCATCTAGTATCTTAAGTCCCATCTAGTTCTTAAGTCCCATCTAGTATCTTAAGTCCTATTTAGTATCTTAATTTTTCTCTTATACATTTAAAGATATATTTTTTTCTTTTTATGTGATATAAAAATAATAATTTTGTACCAAAAAAAACCTTAGAAAACTTACCTAACCTTATTTAACAAGCCAATTTAAATTTAGCCTAATCCAACTAAATATATTTTAGATAAGTTTACAATAATTTAATAAATAAGCAAACACAATGAAATATATTTTTCTTTAGGTTCAAGTGATTTTGGGAAATTATTGCATACACAAATTTTTAGCTTGCCTTTTTCGGCAAGAAGAGCTTTTGCAAATTTAAGCTAAAATCGCAAGTTTTACCTATTCTGCACGACACTGAAACTTTACTTAAATCCCAATTTTAGGTATTAAATTAAATCTTGTCTGGTGCAGCCCCTAATTCCCTCCATTAACAAATCAACATTAATTTGTCGAATAATGTTGAGGACACCGGTACATTGCCCTGATACTTAGGTCAGGGTGTAGGGTCTGAGATGGTGGAGGAGCCCTGAACTTAAAGTTTCGTAGAAGAGATTCGTATCGTCTTCTTTTGATGGTGTTCAGGAGTCTTGATGACGGGGAACTAATGAAACGTCACGTCGTTTATTCAGGATTTATCCAGGGATAAGACACATTAGCAACACCTGGGTATTTTTGGGTTTCTAAATTAAGATACATAGGTATTGCATTTATCTTATTTTGTAAGTATTGTATGTCAGTAATTAAAGTGATCAGAGGAACGTGATAGACAGAAATGTGAAAGGAAACACAGTGCACACTTCAAGAGTAGGTATGATCAAGCCTTAAAGGCAAGAGAACAGTAAACCCCTGGTATGTGTTAAGTCAAACCAGGAGCTGTGATTCGACCACTGTAAACACAACTAGGCGAGTACATGGCATGCTGTAGAGGAAGAGATGGAGGCAACACCATACACATTACATGAGTAGGTATGACCAACCCTGTTTGCCAGAACGTAGTGAAAAAGGGGGGATAAAAGTGAAGAGGTGAGGGCTAAGGACTGTGATTCGAAACCCCCACTAACAAAATTAGGTAAGTACACATGCTACAATGTTTGTCACCCTACACACACACACACACACCACACACACACACACACACACACACACACACACACACTAGAAGTTAAGACCTCCGCTCGCACAAGCACATTATTATTATTATAATCAAGGGGGAAGCACTAAACCCGTAGGTTTATACAGCCCCCTATGGGGGGATGGAAGGCATTCAGGCTTAATTCAGGAACTGGAG